TCAAAGCGGATTTCTCGGGAATATATACAAAATTTCTAAATACTAACTTTCTATTTTAAAATAAATATAACGAAGATATCTATATATAATAAAAATATAACAATTAAATAACCAACCATTATAATAAATTTAAGAAATATAAAAACGAAAACTATTATAATAATTTTAACATACTATAACAAATATAACTGATATAATTATATAAACATTTTCATTATTTTTTTCCGCAGTTACTGCGTCATTTGTAAGTGCCGATTTCTTGTAACACCGGAATTTCAGTAAATACAAAAAAAAAAAAAAAAAAAAAAAAAATCGCAGCAGCGATGTATTAAAAAAGTCAATGTGAATTGTATAATTTTAAATATTTAAAATTATTGCAAACAACGCATTATTTAAGGAATTTGTGCGACTCGTAAGAATAATACAAATAAAAATTGTCATTCTTTTGGTCGGGTGATCAAAACAAAAATATATATTTATTATATAAGATTACCATTTAATTCCGATCTCACGTTTCCCCCTTCTCACGTTCTTTCCTTTATGACATTTAAAAAATTATTTTCCGGTTATTTACCGGAAATAACAAATTCTATTATACAATATTTACGTAAAGATTTAAGGTCGCTTTATTCATGCATTTTAGTCAATCGGCACTTTTGTAGGATTACAATTCCAATACTTTGGGAAGATCCTTTTTCCGTTATACATCAAAGTAATGAGATTAGTAAAGTTTTGATCACTTATTTATTATTTCTTAATGATGAGGATAATGCAAATTTAAAGAGATTAGTGTGTGAAACTTTTCATCAATTATTACCAAAACCTTTATTTAATTACCCAAGTTTTATTAAAACTTTAAATCAATTTCAAGTGCAACAACATGTCAGGATATATTTAGAAAAGTTAATAATCCCATTCTATGATGTTGATAATACAGAGCTATTGGTTCTCTTTAACACAATTTGTGAATTGATATTTAAATTAGTTATAAGTAATGATGTTTCTTTAAACAATTTATATTTAAACATTTGTTATGATCTTAATCTTAGGATTTTCAATGAAATATGTAAGAAACCAAAATTTCTTTCAGACATCAAATATTTTACACTAGATTTTAATCATGGCGACGAGATTCCTCATTTGTCGAAACCTTCTTTCCAAAACTTTTTTGAGTACTTACCAACAGCGATAACTTCAAACAAGCATTTTACAATTTATTTTAGTTTGGAAGAGAATATATCTAAAAGGAATCTAGAATATTTGATTCAATCACAAACGCAACTTTTATCCCTTACACTTCATTCTATAACAACAAAAGTAGCTTACATATTGAACGCTTTGAAGTATTGTTCTAATACTTTAACTTCAATTAAGTTTAACAATTGTGATTTTACAAACATGTCATCATTGAATGGACTTAACTCCCTTGCACACCTTGAATCACTTCATTTCAAAGATTGCGAGGGGATAACAGTTCAGGTTTTTCGTCCCTTACTTGACATTCCTACCCCACTTAAAATTAAAACTTTAACAATAGATGGGAAAATTGAGGAAATTACTTTTATTCAATTATTATTTCAAAAAATTGGTTCTTTCCTGGAAAATTTAGAAATAAATACTTGGAAAGATACTGAAAGAAACAACGTATATGAAAGTATTATCAATTATTGTGAAAAAATTCAATTTCTCCATTTATTATCGATTGATCATGTGGACATTCCTCAGTTGATTAAATTAATAATTCACGTTCGCAAACATCTCAAATACCTTTCCCTTCAAGTCAAGAAAAATAGACGTTCATGTATTAGTTATAGGATCTCGAAAATTTACGTTAATGAACCATTAAGAGTTAGTTCCATGATCTTGGAAAATTTGGGTCAAATCTTACCAGATACTTTGAAATATTTAGAATTAAGACTTGAAATTGATCCAATCAACTTGAAAATCTTTTTGAATAATTGCAAACATATTGTTGGATTAAGCAGATTACTGGTTATGAATAAAACCTTTAATGATAATAAGGTTGCTTTTAACGTCTTGAAAGAATTTGTAAGGGAGAAAAAGGTGACGAATTTTGCATATCTTGTTAATCATAATTTTTTTATTCGTGAAGATGGGTATAAAATACATTCTTCTCAAAAGCTTTATAGTGATTTGATTATGAGAGTTTCGTATTTTGAAAATGTTTAAAATATTTTTATATTAATTTGTTTTTTCTTAATTACATAATGAAGGAGTTAGTAGATTGGATCAATTTGAAAAGAGGGGATTTTTTAGTTAGATTTCAATTTCATGTCTAATTTTATGTTAAATGGTAACTTATCTTAGCCAAAATTTTTTATTTATTCAATTAAAATACTTTGAAATATATTTTTTTCTGTGTATAAAGTTTTTATTATATCTTATTAAATACTCCAATTATTTCATTATTTCATCATATTGCTTCAATTCTATATTAACTAAATGTTTAAAGTTTTAAATAATTTAAAAATTGATATTTATGATTTTACAAAAAAAATAAAATTAGGCATGAAATAAAAAAATTTTTTAAATTAAATTATATCTAATCGAAAAATTTTGTTACCGAAATCAACATCAACATTTTTTATATTTTTTTTATAATAAAAAAAAAAAAGAAAAATTATTATTATCTTATTTAAAGAACGTGATAATAAAAATCATCAAAAAAAAAGCCATAAGGAATAAAACAAATAGATTGATGCCAAGACAAAAAATTAGTATCAAGAAAAAAAAGAAAGAAATTAAACTTTGACAAATGAAATTTAAAAAAATATTCCATCGCTTTATTTTGTAATATCTATAAACTATAGATAATATGACAAATTATATGATAATACTTTACAATATTTTAATAAATAATTCACCTAATTTGTTTATGAAGAATTTGGTCGGCTCTCAAAAGGTAAAAGTTTCCTTTAATTATTGAATTGTATAAACATATATTTACTTATTAAAATTATTAATTTTGAAATCCTATTACTGGAACATACTAATCACATTATTCACACCTTAATCTTCTTGTCAATAAAACCCTAATTGGGTAATAGGAATTTATCGAAATGTCAATATGTACAATAGATTTCAATAAAAATTATTTTACAAATTTATTAAAAAAAATTTTGATAATTAAAAAGAACAAATTTAAATGAGAAAAAAAACCGTGTTTGATAAGAAAAAGCATAATTTAATAAATCAGCCCAGCCAACGTGACAAGTGTAAGAAATCCAGCCAATGAGAAACAAAAAAATGACAGTAACCAATCAGAACGAATTAGTAAACCCATATGTGTGTGGAAATTACAGAATCTCGCATCATTAATTGAGAAATATGTCATATTGCCAAGAAAATAAATCCATCGACTAAAAAAACTTTGAATATAGGTTTATTATTATTGTCATAATTTAACAATAAGGATTAGAAAAAGAACTTTTTTTAAAAGAACAGCATCGTTTAGTCTCTACTTCAACCAAATTAACAGAATTTTTTAAGCTCAAATTTACTTAACATTATTTATTTTATTTTATTTTATTTAAACAAAAGCTTTTAATATCTAAAATGCATTTTATTTTCCTGAAAATGAAATATGAAGAAATTGAAAAAAGGTTGAATACATCTTCAAATTCAAACACATCAAGAAAAAGAAGGTAGGCAGTTAAAAGTCCATTTCAAAATAAGATGGGAAAAGTGCTATAATATCTTATAATAGCTTTTCATATATCAAAGTAAGATAGATATTCTTTAAATAGCGCTGGCTTTGATAAAAAAAAAAAAAAAAAAAATACGATGCAGAGTAAGGCCAGACAAAGAAAAATTTTTTTAGATTCTCATGACATAAAATTTTAAAATTGATATAGTCACCCTTTTTTTCATATGTAACTTTTTTTATGTGTATTGCTATATGATATATGCGGTGATTCTTTTGAAGCTTTAGCAAACTCAAGCACAGAAATGGAAGATGTTAATGATGGAATAGCAAAAGTGATGATGTAGGAAAAATTTTTGAAAATGTAAAAAGTCGATGAAAAATTAACATGTAGCAATCCCATGGAAGTTTCTTATTATTCAAGTGGTTTATTTGAAGATGTTTTGCTTTCAATGTGAAAAAGTACCGGAAGATGAATGTGATGAATCTATTAAAGTTAGCGTGAATGAAGTATATTACTATTATTGCAATGATTGTCATACAACAGTTTTAGATAAGAAGAAGCGTGGTAAGGGTGTTAAATTCAAAGTAACAAAAAGGTCACGAAAAAGATATGCAACAAATTCACATTTTTACGAATTTTTTATAATAAAGTTTATTATGTAAGGTCACGTGATAAAATTTTACTATAAAAAATAAAATTCCTGAAAACTGACACGGCCGGGTCACGAGAATCTAAAAATTTACTTTTCCCGGCCTAATTTATATTATAAATCGCATGATATCGCTGAATATTACCCAATAAAGAAAAATTGGTGTCGTAAATTAATTTACTTTTCAATTACACTCTTTTTTTATATCGATATACCGTAATTTCGAAAAAATCAAAAGAAAAAAGTAGTAATTGGAATAGAAAATTAATTTACTGGTTTTATAATTAAAACAATAATTGTTATAATTGAAATAATTATTTTTTTATCGCACAAGAAATCCAAACCGAATTTAACAGGAAACGATAGACTTTTCTTTCCGAAAAAAGAAATTACCTTTTCTTTGGCAGCGAACGTGACGGAAGATAATTCTGAAATATTCCAAATGCACAGGATTTTAAAGGAATCTTTCGGAAAACTCTTCTGATTATATCTAAAAATTTCTAACATAAAGGTGTAAATTAACAGAATTTAGATATATATAAACATGTGAATTAACAAAGAAATTCTTTTTATACATGGATTATATAAAACTATTATTTATCATTTCTAATAAAAATGTAAAATATATAATAAAAACCAAGTTGGATGATATGATGAGGAGTAGAAAAAAGTTACAAAAGGTATTAAAATTTTTTCTCAATAGATTGCGTAATAAAGTGAATGTCATGAGCTTTCTTAATTTTTCCACCCTCTTTTACATCTGGATGCCAGTCTAGTGAATCAAATCGGTTTATAAATTGTGGGTATTTTGCTGATCCTTCCTTTCCGGCCCAGTCGAAGTCAACTATCATAACCTGCTTTCTATCTTTTGAAATCATAAAATTTGATGTCCGAAAGTCACCATGAACATAATTCATCTTGTGCAATTCATTGGCAACTTCAATAGATTTTTGAGTGAGAAATGATGTATTCTGATCACCTTCCTGAAGAATATCATACATACATATGAAATGCTCACTCAGAAGATATTCCATCACTACCATAAACCAGTTGCCTGCCAGTTTTTCAAATGCTATGAGTTTTGGTGCAATATTGGCTTTAGCACAGTCCCTGTGAACATCAGCGCCATATCTCCTGATAAATTTCACAACAAACAGCTGTTGATTGGTCAATTCTTGCACAATGAAAAGCAGTTTGTCATCAACCAGTTTTTCTTTGTACTCAAACTGAAACTCGTAGCCATTCTCATTTTTAAAAGAATTTGGGTATGGTTATGCTTCTCGTCTTGGTAAATCAGCATTAATTTCAGTTGGTAAACATAACTAACTTATTATAATAATCCTTCAGACTTTCCAGGCTTTCTTTCAGCAGTCGAAATGTATTTGCAGCTGTGGATAGCAATTCATCATCAAATCTTAACTGCATCAAGGGAATTAGAGGTGTGGGTGGTTCTACCACACATTTATCACCAAAGACAGCCCCCAGCAATCCCTAGATACGGTCCTGCCAGGTAAATCAAGAATGTCGGATGGAGACCATAACAGTCTGGAGGCCTTTTCTGACTAATAAATCTAGCGTATGATGCACAAACCTGCCTGTAAGGACATCCACTGCCATCTCCGAGTTCATTCTTTATTTTCCCTAATAATAGCAGATATTTAACATGATTGACGTTAAATGGTATAAAATCGGCCTCACTAACTATATACTCCAAGTGGTAATGCATCAACAGGACAATTAAAATATTTTGAAGCCATGATGTGAATTTTGCGAACCGTTCTTCTTCAACATTATAAAACTCTTGCATGTCTAATACAAGTTTTCCAAGTGATTCAAAGTCATCCGCCTCAGCTTTCAGACTGGAAAGATTGTCTTTGAAAGTTGCGAACACAGAATGGTATAATGACAACGGAATGTTAGGGCTTTCCGTGCGATAATTAAGGATTATACCACTGAGTTCTGGGTCATTTTTTTTAGACCTGCCGTAACTGGATGGTGTAATTTTCCTTAGTTTCTTCCCCATGTCATCCATTTTACGATATGTGGGAACATTTTGCTTTCGTTTCAAGGTCACGTCCATAGAGCCTGGTATCGGAGTAGCTATTAATGAAAAAATGCAGATTGATAAGATAGAAAGGAATCACAAACAATTCTTTAGCTAATTTCCGTTAAAAAAAGGTACTGGAATAAAAAGTGAACATTGGGATAAAGTCAAGTGAATCAGTAATAATAAATAACAAAAGAAAAAAACACAGGTCAGAAACGATATACCAATACTCTCTCTCAAACAAATGAATAAATAAATAAATGAGACGTAGTATTCATAAATGCGCACACTAATCTGAGATAGAATGAACGAAAAATAATATTTTGTTTACGCAATTTGTACCTTCTCCTTTAGCTAAATCGGTAAATTTATCCTGTAAATATTTATATAACTCCCACTTATCGTCTCTATTCTTCGTCAATGCCTCTTTGTCTTTCTTTAAAGCTTTTATTAGCTCATCCAAATCACTTTTATCCTCTTCCAAATTATTCTTTTCATTCTCATTTTTTTCTCTTCTTGCTAGACTATTCAACCTCCTCCCTTCATTCATCAACTCCTGTAACCTATCTACAAACCCTACAAGCATCTCCTCAACCTTTCTATATTCTTCAAACGCTTTGTTTGTATCTTCTTCAATTTTTTGATGTTTGCCATTTTATAAAAAAAATATTTAAGCATAATTTCGACCAATGATAAAGGCTACCCCAGTATTACCAACAAGTTTTCACCCCGCGTGACTTTGTGGCGCATTCATATTTGATAAGTGGCGTATATCAAACGCACTGGGGTGTGTTGTTAACAAAACTCTATCAAGTCCTATAGTAAATTTTACTATTTAATTTTTTTTGTATTAAACTACTTTATACTACTATTTTATAACAATTTTTTTATTAAAATCGTTAAATTTCTTTCGTTCCATAACTTTGAATTCTTCTCGTCGTTTTCACTTGAAATTCAGCAAAGATATTCTGAATAACTATCTCTTTCAAATGACACGTTTCCTTTTTTATAAAAAAAAAATTCATTGTAAAATAAGCCTTTCTTATTAACATAATCAATATAAAAATTCTTTGTATTTTTTTTAAAGTGTCACATTATTTTTCAATATTATACTCATTTGCAGTTTAATTTGTTTGAATGCTAATTAAAACCAAAGTTGAATTTTAAAAATTAGGATTTTTTACGGGAAAATGTCTCCAATTTCAAGCTGTGCTCGTCAATTAAAATAAGCTTGTGAAATGCAGACTAAAAGTTAGAGGCGAAGAAAAATGATAAGAAATGAAAAATTAATAGCAGATTAAAAATAGTGCAAAAATAAAGAGTTAAAATAAGAAAAACTCCACTTCAGAAAGTACAACTCTTAGCAATCTGAATCTGATATTGTATTGAAACTTTTTGAACAAATAATTTGCTAATAATTAAAACTGTAATTTGTATTAAATTAATGCTTATTCGTTAGAATTCTTATCAATATTAAATTTTAATTAATTTATTATATATAGTATTAATAAACAGTTTTCAGAAATAAATCTGATTTTTAGGTACAGATATTTATTGTATTACTATTATATTAATAATTAATATGAAAAAAATTAATAATAAAATTTATTATAGAACTTGATATAATTTTGTTAAACTATGCTAATAATACATTCAATGTCGTATGTAGATCATTTTCATATTAAAAATATTTATATAACTAAATATATAACTTTAACAATAAAAATATATGTAATTTATGAGTGAAAATAAATTCTCTTAGATTATAGAGTATGTTGTTCAGTTGTATTTTATGTAATATACAAAAACTGATTTTTTAAATTATAAAATATTATGGTAATAAGCTCTTAATAAATGCTTTAAATTTAAATACAACTTGGTGAAAATAACAATTTTATTAAAATAACTAATTTATCTTTTTTTCTTAAATGAATAAATAGATAATATTAATAAAAAATATGTAGATGTTTAAAAACAATTATTAAATAATAAGAAATAATAATAGCAAATATATATTTTTTATTAATTTAAAATTAAAATATAATAGAAAAGAATAAAATAAAGTTTTTTCTACTTTTAATTATGAACTATAAAAAAGAGAAAAAACAATTATTAAGAAACTAAAATAGATAAATTTAATTTAAAAACTATAATATTTATAAAAAAAATTAATATATTAAATAGTTCTATTCATTAATAAAATATTTAATTAATATTCTATTATAATAAAATATAAAATACTATACTATTCTAAAAATAAGTAATAAATATTTATTATTATATATATAATAAATAATATAATAAAATACACATAACAAATAAAAAAATTATCATAAAAGAAGCATATCACAAGTTACTTATTTTCAGAATAATACAATAGCTATAATAGAAATTTTTATTTTAGTTTTATATTTTTTAAATAATAAAAGAAAAGTTTTTTAAATTAAAAAAAAATCACAATAAAATTACAAACATCAAAAATTTTTCAGAAAGATAAATATTAATAATTATCACTTTATCATAAATTATCACATTAAAAAAATCAATTATTAACAAATTGAGATAATTAATATAAATTATCTCTGACATATATATAATTAAACACTATAAAAATTTAAAAAAAATAATTATTGAGTTAATTTTTGATAATTTAAGATATTGAAAATCAAAAAAAATAATCATAAAATTAATTAGTAATAATTTGCAATGTTTCAATAGTGGCAGAAAAAAATAGTAGTCGCAATCATATGATTAAACCAATAATTTATATCATATATGATTAGACAACATAAACCAATTTTTTGTTTGGTTATTTACTATATTATATTGATCAACATGTATAAAAAACTGAGTATAAGAGTACCTTATAACTGATATAATATAATAATCCTGCAAAAAATTTTATTAAAGAATAATATAAAGTAGTTAAGTTATTATAAAATAATAGAATACAAAATGTAAATGAATTACACAAAATTATCAAATTCTCATTAAATATACTGTATTAGTGATAATCCTGATTAAAAAACCAAAAATTTAAAATAATAATATCATTTAAAATACTCAAAGATTTTAAGTCTAAAAAAGCAGCGTTATCTTAATATAAAAATAATATAAAAATTAAGTTTAAAATATGCTAATCTATACTAGAAAAACTTATTTAAAAATATATTGATTTATACTATATATAAAAATATATAAATGATAGTATTTTATCATATTTTTTTAATAAGTTACACTACTAAAGAACTCTCTCTTTTTTATTATAAATAGATAAAGAAACAGTAATACTTAATAATGAATCTTTTTTTGTAGATACTAAAAATATTTACCTATCTATAGAGAAGAAGCTTTTTATAAGATGATATAATTATTTAAAAAAATTTTATTTAAAAAAAAGAAAAAGAAAAAATATAGCAATTTGTATAATATAATATTATATAAGTTGCAACCATAGCTGAAGTTTGAAAAAGCTTAAAAAATATAAGATTATATTGTTATATGAAAGAAGATATAGATGATGATAATTTAAAGAATGACGTCAATTCTAAAGAAATTATATATGTCTTCTATATCATCTATATCATCTATAGTATATATTTCTTTTATACAATATATTTATTTTATTTATTTTATTTTATTTATCTTATATAATTATTATTAGAGTTCTGAATGAGTCAAATCAAGTCAAGTTTAAAGATTAATTCTATTCAACTTTCTTTTTTTGAGTCGAGTCAAATCAAATTAATGATGAGGGATGAAACCCTTAATAACAGTCGAAACTTAGACGAAACTATATTAAAATCATAATAAGGAATATGATAAAACCCTTTTGATATGATGAAAGCTAAACTGTCGAAACTATATTAAAAACATAAAAAAGGTATGATGAAATTATTTTGAGGAGGTTTCAGCAGGCATTTATAAGTCAAATTTATCTTATAAAATCTTTCAATTTGATTTGATTTGGGTTATATAAATTTTAAACTTGATTTAATTTGACTTGACTCGATTTTAACTCAATTCAATTTTAAAAAAAATAATAAAAAAAATGAAAAGATCAGGGGGAGGAGGAGAGAGGGAAAAGTAAATGATTCATTATTGTTCTTCTTGAATAATTTTTTTTATCGTTTAAGTCAAACGATTAGTTATCATTCTTCTTGAACAATTATTTTTATCATTTAATTTAAATGATTAGTTATTGTTCTTCTTGAATGATTGTTTTTATCGTTTAAGTTAAATGATTAGTTATCGTTCTTCTTGAACAATTGTTTTTATTGTTCAAGTTGAATGATTAGTTATCATTCTTCTTGAACGATTGTTTTATTGTTTAAGTCAAATAATTAGTTATCATTCTTCTTGAATGATTATTTTTATCATTCAAGTCAAACGATTCAGGTCATCGTTCTTTTTGAATGATTTTTTTTTATCGTTCAAGTCAAACGATTCAGTTATCATTCTTCTTAAATGATTTTTTTATCGTTCAAGTCAAATGATTTATTATCGTTCTTCTTAAACAATTTTTTTTATCATTCAAGTCAAATGATTTCTTATCATTCTTTTTAAACGATTTTTTTATTATTCAAGTCCACTCAAGTCAACTTAAATCAAATCGAGTTTAAATTGAGTTGATTTAAATATTTAATTCAACTTAAATTTGGCTTGACTCGCAAATCATTGAGTTAAAAAAATATAAATTTGATTTAATTTAAACTCAACTTAGCTTATCTAACTCGTGAGTTAACTCAACTCACCTAGAACTCTAATTATTATATTCTATTAAATTATCTTCTTTTTGTTTACAATTAAGAAGTTCATTAATTAATAATTAAAATTCAATTAAAG